TTGTTAGAGGTAAAGCAATAGGCCACGGGATGGACGTCAGTGGTTCGATTCCAGGCAGTGGAAAGATATTATTCTCTACCTCACAGCGTCCATACCGGCTCTGGGGCTCACCCAGCTTCCTAGTCACTGGATCCCGGATGGTCATTCCCCTGCCGGGGCGTCAAACTGACCACTCACCTCCAACTAGTTCCGAGGTCAAGGGTGGAGCTGTACCTCCACTCCTCCATATATCTTCATGACATGTATGAATGAATGACTGTATAAGGGGTGAGCCTTCTCGGTCTTTGCACCGCGACTTACAGTGATCTATTGTGCTTCCACTCTTAATGACATAGTGCTTAATGAATTAAGCACAGGGATAATTCCAACTTCAACTTTATCTTCCAAATTCTGTTTTCGAAGCGAGTCCAGATGAGGTCATTGGATTTTTTCAATTGACCTAATCCTTCCAGCCGCACTATGGCACTGGGGTCACTCAGCGTCTAACAGAAATGAGTACCAGGATTATTTTTGGAATATCCTTGGGGGGTAAAGGGCGGCCGGCGCGTAGGGCTGACAACCTTGCCGCCATCTGTGAGCCGATTGTCTAAAAAATGTGGGAACCTCAACATCTCACAACCCTATGGGCCTCCAAGGCCTCTTTACAGGGATACCTTTACTTTACTTTTTTTTTCCACTTGGCACTACAGCCCCAGTGGGCCTAGGCCTACCTCCATGAACTTCTCCGTTCACTTCGGTTTTTCTAGATCTTACACATACGGTAGGACTCCTTGGGCGGGTGATCAGCTCGTCGCAATGCCTCTACCAGTAGACAAACACAGAAAAACGCACACAAATATCCATGCCCTGAGTGGGATTCGAACCCACGATCTCGGCTTCCGAGCGAGCGAAGACAGTGTATGCCTTAGACCGCTCGGCTACCGTGACCGGCTTACTTTACTTTACTTTCCTTTCACTTTACCTCTATTACTACTACTACTACTACTAATAATAATAATAATAATATTTTAAGGTTCGTTAGTGTGCAATGTTAGCCCTTAAATAACTTGAACACATTTCAGTCGGCTCTTCCCCCAACTAGGATCAAATTATTTTCGAGAGTAAAAGAACAAATACTTGCACGTAAAAAGGGAGTAAGTAGCAGGAGGCTGGAAAAACGTGGATAATGAGAAGATTCATAATTTGTAGGTGGGAGTGTCTGGACTGGATTCATCTGGCTCTGAATGACAAGTGGCAGGCTCCTGCGAACTTCGGGTTCCATAAAATGCTGAGAACTTCTTACAGGCAGATTAACTATTAGCTTTTCAGTAATGGTATTAGTTAGCCAAACAATTCCATTTCTATTATGAGGAACCAGTTCCCTAGTATGCTTGTAAGGCGACGAAGTATGCTGAAGTGACGGTTCCCAGTTCTGTGAACATGTGGCTGGCTAATTCGGAGTAGTACAAATTCCCTTCTCACACTTCTCGTCCCTTTATTTTGGGTGTCCTGCACATACGCGTCTTTCTTTTCCTTTTGCATTTGTCTCGAGCCAACCTTCCCCGTTCCACTCTCACGGAGTTTACAAGGGCGGGTAATGGAACAGCGGCGAGACGAATGCGGTGTGGGGAAGTGAACCCCTCACCCCTCGACACACGTAACTCTGGACGGTTGATAGAGTACCAGCAAGTTTCTAGTGACGTAGGGGGATGCGCCCCATTGGGAACTCCACCCTTTGTCGCTCATGTAGAATTCTGAATCCTTATACTGGCTAATGACCAAAGACCGTCTTCGAAAGAGGATTTCCTGAAACAGCGATTTTATAGCGCACTCACTGTAACGGTGGGCACAAAGTTTGGCAGGCCTCGGAGTCATCTGCTACGTCATCTTCTGGTTTCAGGTTCTGGTGATTTCGGAGTTTCTGCTTCTTCATCACCTGCATTTTTTGTGGAACAATGCCCAATTTCGAAAACTAAAATAACAGCTTGAAATCGTACAAGGACCACGAGAGCTGCGAAAATTGTAACTGGCCATAATGATATTGCTGTAGCAGTGCTAGACGACCCACTACAGAAGATGTGAATGGCACTATGTTTCTCTGGCGTAACATGAATTTGTCCTGCATGGAAACGCTTCTGTTACACCGAGAAGCAGGGAGAAAAGTGGGGTTTATATTGTGAAACATATCTTGTGTGCCTTCATGAAGATTGTGTCGAATCTGTAACTAATTTGTCCTGTTTATTCTACATTGACCATAACAATTTCTTCTCTTACATTTTTTTTACATCACTGTATTTAAACTAACTCTGTGGAGCTGAGACCTTATCAAAAAACGAACAGTTGTTCACCCACTCAAGAGGTTCCGATCATTTTATGGGACCCATTTTCAGGGTCGAAATGTGTACACACTCCGACCCTGAAGATGGAGGTTGCATTTATCTCCGTAACGTCGGCAACATCCCCCGCAAACAGGTTGCATACCAATCAAATAACACAATTAGTATCAGTAAGTAAATATAAAATAGTCCTGTGTTTATTTAAGCACCGCGTCATGAAGACTTGCAGTTGAGATCCACGCATTTTGATTCTGAAGTAGAAATAATGAAAACCGACAGTTTTACGACGAGGAAAGAGCCCCCCCCCAGTACCCGCTGGATAAGGATCTGGGGACCCCAGAGCTGGTCTGCATGCAGTGGCGGAGAGATGAATTCCTGTCTCTGCCTGTTAGCGAACTCCGTCACTCAGCCACTATACTGACTGAGCTACACAATTAATATCACATCATTTTAGAACAAAGGAGCACTTTAGCTGCTTAGAAATTGTGGGCAGCAAACGCTCTTGTCTTGGCTTGGAATTTACATTTGGTTAAGACAACAGGAAGACCACCTCTGTGGTCTAGTGGTCAGAGTTCCTGGCTACAGATCCAGAGGTCCCGGGTTCGATTCATGTCGCTACCAGGCTTTCTGGGAAGTAGTGGGTCTGGGACGGGGTCAACTCAGCCTCGTGAGGATAACTGAGGAGCTATTTCAAGGAAATAACGGCTCCGGTCTAGAAAACCGAAATTAACGGCCGTGGTGGTCCTTTGCGCTGACCACGAGACATCCTCGAACTTCGCCGACAATGGGAGGTCGCTCGGTCGGTATAATTCGCTTACGGACTATAGACCACGGAGTTTATTTTGGAGGCATCAGGAAAGAATCTGAGGTGAGCCCTAGTGGAAGGGAAATGTTAACAGAAATTACTAATAAGATTTTTCAGGGACCAGCTATATTTTGCAGCTTGTTATTAAAAACACCGCTGTCGCCACTGGCGCCACTGGTTATATCCACTTTCAGTTTGGAATATGTACGTTGATAGCGATGAATTGGCAGTCTTCAAGTAGAAAAGCACTGTTGCTTTTATAGGAGGTCTTTTTCTTTCATTCACCGGAAAGGGGCATTGTCTGCATGGTTCGTCTCTTGTTAAGATATTTATGTCTGACTGGTTCTGTCATCCTTGTTTATGTATTTTCACCCGTCCTCTTCATCTTCCTCCTCACGTCGTCCTTCCGTCCCCCGCGGCTTCTCCTTTGCTTTCCCCCCCCCATTCCCTTTCCTATGTTCATTACAGGCCCCTTCTTGCCACTAATTTTTATTCTCGTCATGTTGTATCCTTTCTAAGAATGGTTTCTCCTTGTATACGTATCTGTTTCTCTCTTCTTTTCATGCACGTTCGCAATATCCCTTACGTTCAGAAATGAGTGCGTCATCAGTCACTATACATGTGAGAGGAAATTGTAATTGTTACTGCTAATCAAATACATCTGCATGAATATACTGAGAATGGAGATTTACACAGGCCAAGATTATATGAGGTATGAAGAAAGTCGTCTTCTGGGATCTGGCGCCGTGTATTCTTGGTTTTAACCGACGTTTCGGAGGTTAAAACCAAGAATACACGGCGCCAGATCCCAGAAGACGACTTTCTTCATAGTCATCGCCGTGAAAACCCCAAAACTTACATTATATGAAGTAGTTTCAATATCTTGCAATCGGTTCATGTAATACGGGCAGTCGTGTTATGATATTCGTGACAAAATGTAATCAGTAAAATGAAAGCACGTCCTACTACTTTAGGTCATTATTTCGGCTTTACATTTTTTTTCTTCACAAAATATTGAACACTAAACACGCCTGTGTGGAACAAATACAATTGATTTATAAAATAATTTATTGATAATGATAATGGGGCATAATGCAGTTACAGTGAACCGACATCTCGATAGAACGCATTGTCTCNTGTAAAAACGGTAAAGTAGTTCCTGTGCTTAACTTCTTAAGCACTACGCCCTGAAGGCGTATGGGGGAGTGAATGTACAGATCCACGTTTTCTTGACCTCGGCATTAGTTGGAGGTGAGTGGTTAGCTTCATGCCCCGGCCACTTTAACCCCGGTACCCATTGGATAAGAGGCTGAATGGACCCCAAAATCAGTCTGGACGACGTGGAGAAGAGAAAATTCTTGACCGTACAGGGACTCGAACTTCGACCTTTCTGTCTTCCAGCGCGTAACCAGTCGCTGTACCAGTTGCGCTATCACGCAGTTCTTTTTAAGATGTTTGTCACTTAATGAATGTACTTATCAATTGTTTCATTTACATTTAATTATTCTTGGAGACATGCATAGTTTTTCGAGATAATACAGTGCATGCAGACGAACTGAGAGCGCTTATATGTGATGGGACCACCTGTGTACCCTTGATACATTTGCGTTAACGATTGTCGTCCGCTAGACGGCAGCACTGTATAGAGCCTAAGTATGCCTATGGCCGTGGAACAACACGAGCCGTTCCCCGCCATTCTTCTTCATTCGCCAGCCGGAGCGACGAACCCTGACCAGCATCGCGATCGCGAAGCGGCAGGGGTGGACCCCTCCTCTTAGTCCTTATGGTCGAACGGGCTATTGTGACTAGCCCAGCGAGTGAGCCTTAGGGATGCATCACGCCGCGCACGCCGCCTGCCGTGAAGTTGCGGCAGCCAAAACGAAGCCTGAGCGGGGAGCATTCAGTTAGCGCCGAGCCGGCCGGGAGTAGCGTTGACTGTTGAATTGTGTATGTGGCTTACATTTCTGTTAAGACATTCCCAGCGCCAACCACATTTCATGCTAGAGAGCAGTTAAAATGGGAATAGACGGAAGTCGGAACAGCAACTAATTATTTGTTATGGATATAATGTGAACAGTGATATTTTATAGTTGAAGTATAATGCGTACTTGTTTTATCGTGGCAGTGATACCAATACAATTAAGAACGATTTGTAACACAGTATGTAGTGTTGTGTCATAGTGATGGAATGTTAACCTCAGGTGCCCATTTGTGAATTCATTCGTGTTTGTGCCCATCTACAGTGTGCGAACACACGGACAATATAACTTTATGTGGAAAGTGTTTAGTGAAATTTGATTGTTACAAGAGGACGAATGTTTGCTCTATCGAGTGCTTTACTAGTCGGTAAGTTTGTGTCTGTATATTGTGTACTTGGAGAGTAGTGTTTCCGCGCCAATACTGCGGGTTCGTATTGTTTGCGTTGAGCGGGCGGTGCAATCTGAGGGACCTCTAGCTTGGGCCTCAACCTTGTGTACAAATACTTAAAGCAACCCTTTACGAAACTGCAATCGTTAGGGAATCCTTGGAAATATTTCCGTAGTAAATAATATCCTGCATTTTAACTGAGGGCGCGCAAGTGTGACTTCATCCGCTGATAAATAAATATGACAGTAACAATAACGATCAGGACGACAACGTAATTGAAGTTCGAGTTGGTAGGCTATCAGATCAGCGGATTGTGTGCAGGTAGCTTGCAGGCAGATATGTAAAGTTATGTTACTGCGACACACACTGGTGTTCGTGTAGCCCCATGATTTCGTGTACGGTGAAAGACCTTGAGGTGGTGGCTGTACTTACGGGCCAGGTGGACGACTGGGAAAACATGCTAAACGAAACCGCCTTTCTATGACGTGAAGGAACCCCATTTTACAAATAAATTTACTTTCACGTTGGACTTCTCAGTGAGTGCTTCATAGCCATTGTAGTTGATAAAGCGTTGTTAAATAAACTAAGGAACAGTAAGTTATATCCCTGAACATTAGCATATCCCAACGGAACGGGTGGTTTGTCACGTGTCAGCAAATACAAACGTAAGCGTCTTGGCATGGAGACCGTGATAGTGGGCAGCCATTTTACTCACTGATAAGGAATGTACCAGCTACTGAACTGTCGACTTTCGTACAATTTGGCACCGCGCTGTTCGATGACCGTGAAATAATTCGTTTTGTAGCCAGCCGACATTGCATGTTTCGTCGTGCCTGTCTGCTTTGCGTGTAGCCTATGCATGTTTCACATGCATCCACCGTAGTTACGTAATAATACGTAACATCATAGGCCCCATCTTCAGTGAAATGTCGTGACGCTATGAACGGCGGCACATTCATGATTTGATATGATTGGGAATAACTTAAATAAGTAGGGATGTTTTTATTTCTCGTTAGTATGAGTGACCGTGCAAGATTTTAGGATTTCTAGCGAAAGAAGAAGGAAAGCCCCGAGCTGTCACCTCGATTCGTTATATTAACCATAGGCGTTTATTTGGATTCGGCCGTTGTTGACGAGGTTTTGTTTTCCTACCAGAAAGGATAGTAAGCGTAAGGGTCCCAGAGTGACCATTTCAAGTAGACCAGAGTTTTTATGAAACATTGCGCAGTACTACATGGTGCGCATATTGACTGTGACATTGCTAGTTCTGCTGTGTCACGGATTCTCCAGTAGAGAATAAAGGACGAAGTTTTTTCGTTATGTAGTCTCGACAAGCAGGCAGTTATAAATGATGCTACATACATTTTTATGGATGCTAACGTTGGGAGTGGACGTTTTTGTGTAGAGTCTGTAATAATGTGACAAAGGGAAGGAGTGAAAAAGAGGTGAAGTCGCGGAGACCGGACGCCTGCTGTTGGCGGCAAGGGTCTGGCCTGATGCCGGCAGTTCGGAGAGACAGGCTCCGCGCAGATTAGCAGTAATCACAAATGACCCTACGCATAGTCTATTATAGTTATTTCTCGTTAGGAAACTGAATATATTTTACGGCGTAAAATTAAGGAAGCTTTCGTATGTAGCAGAGAACAATTTCTATGCCTCCAGTTATTCCATTCCGCACCTCGATATACATTCCCCGTGTCGCTTCACCACGAATAGAAAATGATCACTACTACAAGCTTGCCGTCTTCCAGCATGAAGTTTATATGCGAAGGGTTTCTCCGAATATTTTGTACCCAAGGATAGAACGTGCTGTAAACATGACTACACAGTTCAAAGAACCTACTGTTCGAGAGAGAAATGTTTTTGATATGTTTACACGGTTTGGTCACGTTTAAGAGGAATGAGTGTATCTTTAAGTTAGATTTCCGGATGAGAAAACCACACGCAACAGAATAAGAACGCGCTAATACGCATGGGGTAATTAGAAATACGGGCGCAGGTATCGGGGATTGAAGTCGTGTCCAGTGAACGAATGAGCGTTTGAAGCTACTTTCGAAAGTTAGAATAGATGCCTACTCAAAACTAAAACATAATTTGTAAGTACGTGCTGCGTACGGCGTACCAATTGTTTATGGTATTTATTTGGAATGAGGTGGGGCAGAATTACGCGCATACTCTCGGAAAAGGACCCACTTCTTCAGCTGCCCAGGTTACCCTCACCAGGACACATCTCTAACCCCCCTCCCACGCCTCATTCTCCAGCTTTGACGCGTCTTGAGGAAGAGTTATTTCTCAGTTTGTAGCGCAATCGCAAGGGGGGGGGGTTCAAGAGATACGTGCCCAGTGTTAAAAAAAATGAATGTCTCCGTGAGATAAAGGCACTACGAATTCGCCTCCGTGGCAGCTTATCATCACAAAAGAACTTTGTTAAGACAAAAACTTTAAACGAAAAGTTTTTGTCACACCATCCGTATCACATTCAAGCGTTTCTTCTGTCAAGATTTGCTGCCTTCTTGGTGAGTTTGCTTCTGACCGTAAGCGCTACAGTGAGACGGTTCTGCTGAGGTGTGAGGGATACATTCACGTGACACTGTATGCCCAGTCCGCGTTCAGGTTCGTTGCGGTGAGTTATTGGTACGCCATGATAACATTGTCATCGCGTAAGGAAGTTGCAATGTTGAAAAATATCTCCCATTCGGGGCACGAATTTGCAGCTCACTCATTACTGCAAACCTATGGAATCAGTCTGCGAATGTGAAGGCCATAAACCCATAGATCTTTGTGATGGAACGTTCCGGAATTATACTGTTATTTTAGCTCGTTTCAGGTCAAGGTGCAGTGTATTACAAAAGCAGTCTTACTATCTCCATGGAGCTGAGCCCTTGACAAGCAGCCAGTTGTGTAGCTATTCAAGAATTTCATACCATTTTATGGAACCCGGAGGTTCATTATCGTGTTCACAAGAAGCCTCCACTGGTCTCCGCCCAGAGCCAGATTCATCAAATCATACCACACCTTCCTGTCTCTAAGAGTCAAAAGAACAAATAAATCGAACCGAAAATAAAGCAAATGCATGTGTTATGGATACTTCGAATTTGATGAAAATATTAACCTGGAGCCTTCAATTTGCTCAGGACTGCCCAGATAAGAATATGGTTTTGCGGACTTGTTTTCTTGATGAACATTTGCTGGAGCGTTATGTTTAAACTGGGCACTGAACAATTTCTCGATTAGTCGGCAGGGTGCAGCACCGTCTTATCAGTGGTAACAATCCAGGAATCGTGGACAAGGCGTTATAAAGAAGATCGACCGTGTATTCTCATGCAATCACGCAACGAGGCCTTTGCTAGGACATATTTTGACTGTCCGTTGTAAAGTGCAGAAACGTTAGAATGGAGCTCACCACGCCATAAAATCGATAAGACGCCCCCCTCTACGGGCTTAACGTCATATGAACCTCTGTAGCAGAATTTCTAAATATTTGTATGCAGGGGCGCTTTCGAATGATGTGTCATGTACACGTTATGCAATTTTGTTTCGTTTTACACAAATCATATTTGACGATTGTGAAACGGCGTGTTTCGATGTTCAGTAGCAGACCTACTAATTTCTCATGACATCCGATAGACGAATAATGAATGTGATCGTTTAAAAATAAACTCAGTTGCATGTAGTATTCCGGCTGTTAAACATGGAATAAATTCGCTTTCATATGGCAACATCCCTATAATTGTGACCACCGCCACCAAGCTGAGACCGTCATGCGAAATTGAAAAGCACTAAGCATTTTTTTCGTAAGACATTTTTGACATCTCAGGAGATGGACGTTTGGGAAACACGCAGGCATGCCATTTATGTTGATTTAATGTGTTGTTCAACAACCTTTATTAATAAATCGACTGCTACAGACCCATCTCTTGACTGCTTACAACTCGTTGCATTATTTGAATATGAATTTTATCGTGCTGCCCAGAAAGTACAAAAATTAATTAAGAATTTGTTCAATTTATGGTTACAGGACAGGAGATGGGACCCCCTTCCTGAAAATATGGGTATTAGAAAGCGTAGCATTTCATGATGTAGTTGTGGAGTGGATTGAAGTGGCTCAGGATGGCGTGAAAGTGCGTGTTTTGTATGCTGAAGATCTTGAAATTTCGGGACCCGCGAAGTTGGGGAGTTTCTTGAGCAACGAAATTGCTTATAAATTTTTCGTGGAGTTAGTATGTATAGGAAACCTCACGAGGTGCAAATAAATACAGCCTTCACAGTGAGGAACAAAAATGGCGTGGCTGTTGCAAAAGAATTCGAAGCAAGCTCGTACAAGCCAGTACTCTTCAGGTACGTGTAAACTTTTGTAAACGAAGGGAAAGCCTCTTGGAGAGGTTAAGATGGAAATAGCATGCGAATATTTGTCTTGGAATCTTCAGATTCATCCAGTGCGTGCTATGGTACGTACGGAAATATTACCTAAAGTGACGTTTGACATAACGAATGTACGCATGAGGGTCAGGAACGGTTGCGGGCCTTTTACCAATCAGGAATTGCGATTGGTCTGCAGTAACACTAAACGGAAGTAGGTTTCCTCGAAAAGAGAGGGGCAATAATTTCGAAAACCTTTTTTGAAACTACCACCACTGGGTCCCATATTTATTTTTGCGGACTTAAATGATAGTAACGCGATTTGAAGGTTTAGGATAGGTCAGATATTGAGTTGCTGTGAACACTGTAGTAAACTTTCGGGTTCCACAGAATTGAGGAATTTCGTGGCCAATCTAATAATTCATATTTTAGAGAAAGACATTGCCACGCGATTTGCATAACATTTGAATCCTTGTTAGGTTACTGTTTTATTTTTGTAGCATGTCGCACGGGACTTTTCGCCTAAATGTCCACAGATTGCGACACCCGTAAGTTGCGATTCCAAGGTTTTGTTAACAAAGAATGTTTTTTTGCCGATTTTATTTGGTGTTCCGTATTGT